ATAACGGTGTTCATGTATGTCATGTATGTTTCTATGTTGTTCTGCCAACATTTGTTCCTCTTTTTGTTTGAACTCTAAAAATATAGACTTGAAAACATGCTCTCTCCGGAGTTACCAGCTGGTCTAAATGATATCAAAATTAATTTTAAATTCCTCATTTAATATATCCATGCCTTTCTCCTGTGCTTCAGATATTTATAATAAGAGGTTCATATTAAGCCAACATGAGGCCATCAGTTATACAATAATTTTCTCATTATCTGTTATGACTGTTAAGTGACACTACCGCATATGATTGGTGATATCAAATGTTCTCTGTAAAAGTTTAACTACTGTCTGTTAACATTCTACAAGAATTTAACTGCTAAAATGTCTATGGTCAATAAGAAATAACAGTTGTCTGGTCATACTTTATAGTTCAAGGTGTTTGTTAATTAACTATATTGCTCTCCTGAAAAAACAACTGTGATTAATTCCTATTTATATCCCGATCTGCTCGTGACAGTCACACCAAGCTAAGAAGACAAATCTTGGCTCTCAAACCTCACAAGGAATCTTACTTAACTTGACTTTCCATGTCTTCAATAACAGAAACCAAAACTAACCATACACAAGTGCCAACTTTTGGCTGCGACACTCGGGACTCCCATCAAAGTAAGACCTTAACAAGGTAATGCTGAGCCTGTACTACGCTGCCACCCGAGCTCTTCCTGCAGGTGCGGCAAAGAAGGACAGATGCTGGACACGAGCCTGCCCCGACGTGCAGACTTGGTTCCACCTAAAGCTGGAGGGTCACTGGAAGTGCGACGGCCCTGTCCGCCAGAGCGCGGGCGAGTCATCCAACTCCCTGCCCTCACAGGAAAACTTGCCACAGCCAGAGGCGTCAGTGCTTGCTCTGCTTGGTCTTGCTGCTGAAGAGGAACCACAGAGCTTGGGGTCTGTGGCCCACATCGAGGCATCTTTGTCAGAGTCCCGAGTTTTGCTGGACATCTCAGGTAAAAAACTTTTTTTCTTGCTGAAATGGTCACCACATATAGTGTTCTTCCTCAGTTCAAAAGTTGCCGTATTAGATCTACATTCTCCACAGTGGGTATTGATGGCCGACCTCCTTGACGCCTTCAGACAGGCCCTTTCCTGCTGAGTCCAGATGTGGTTCTTCACTTTCCTTATAAATCCACCCTCTTCTGTAGGTCTCATGGGGACAGATCTCATCTCTCTCACCTCTCTCCCCACAGTGCTCTTCCTATAAACCTAACCTCAATGCACAGCCAGCCAGGTCCTCCCTCCCCCTTCCCTGGTCCCTGGTTGACCACATGCGCTGAGACACTGCCAGTCCCCCTTGTGCCACACATGCTGTTCCTACACTGATGTACCTCAGAGATCCCACGGCCTTTCCCTGCATTCCCTAATACCGACTAGCCCCCAAACATCGGAGGGGACTCACGCCCATCATTCACCATCTCCTCACTCCTCCCCTTCAACATGGTCATGGTATAATGACACAGATCATAGACTCCCTTTTTGCTTCGACCCGGACCACCAACCTCACCAAGTGTGGCCTGTATATGTCCATTCCAAGTCCTGATCTCATGGCCATCCCGGCCGTACCCAACACCACACACACCTGTCCTCTTCCCAAAAGCCTTTAGCTGTTGATTTCTCTGTTCTACAACTCACCTCTTCCCACAATTTCTCATGCTCAACACGCCTCCAGACAAGCCACACAAAACGGACACAGCTGTTTCTATGTGGCACCTCGATATATAAAACTCCGTCTTCCTTTGCCTCACTCCCCTTCTATGGCTTCTTGTAGGGCTTGCTGTTATGCTCATGGGAGCCCCCTGCTTCATCTCCCTCATCCACAATACTGTCACCAGATTAGCAACTCAAAATTGTAACCAAATACTTCTTCCATATTACTCCTTTCAGGTCTTGTTCCAGTGAGACCCCCTCAGTGAAGACAACTCCTCACCTTGATCTCCAGACTCTCTGCCACACAATGCTCTTGGCCCCACTGAATAGGAAGAAGCCAGATGATTTCTTCACACTTTTTCTATCAAACGGAGCCTGGGATGATAGGTCAGGACTCAGAGTTGCCTGGGCACCTTGCCCCAAACATTCCCTCCCTTGGTTTCCTAATCCCAACCCTGCCCAACATTGTATTCTGGTCTCAGCTCACTTCCCATTGACCCGTGTTGGTCTCAGCTCACTCCCTTCTGATGTAAACAAAAGTAAACACAAGGAAGATAAATGATGTCCACCTGTGACCTGGCTGTTCCAGCCCAAGATCACCCTCCCTGAAAGATCCTATAAAGTCTCATATTCCCCCTTTATTTGTGGCTGTTCTGGTCCCTCCCCTAGACAGCCAGCCTGTTTGATGCCCCCAATAAATCTACTTGTGTCCGAGTGCCTGCTCCAGTTGATTGCATGAGTTTGTACCTAACGTTCAAGGAAGGAAGGAAGCCCAGGAAGGAAGAACGTGTGCAAGGGAAAGAGGTAAAGTCCCAAATCCTGGCACCATTTGTTCGAACTGTTTCTTTACTACATTGGCAGTGATTCAGATAAGACAGGTGATAACCAGTCATTGTAATTCTTGGTTGCAACTGCTTGTGCTGACACTAGAGTTGATTTCATTTTAATTGTTTTAACCTATGCACAAATATTTTTCTTAGGGTGTATGGCAGCATCAACATATGCTTCCATGTCTGAATGTATTTCTTTGCAAATTCCTTGTGTGTCAAAATTTTAGGTGAGGTTTAAAAACTTGTGAGTGTAATTACACATTAATTCAAATAACTCTCTAAAATCACATATGACTATCCATATGCATCAATTATATCTTCACTTTATCCTTATATAATATAGGTGGACATTAGCCAAAATGTTGCAAGTATGATTAAAAAAGATGCAAAGAAAGCAATGTTGTCTAAAAACCTATTCATAGTAACATCCTTATCAAGGCACTTTATCTGTCTTCTAATCCCAAATACACTTCACTTATACTATATGAAAGAGAATTTTATTTTAAATGGGTTTTAAGGAACAATATGGCTACTTCCAGGGCATCAAACCTAACATATCTTTATGTAAAGATTAGCAAAATGAGTACTTCTTGAGTTTAGACTATTACAGAAGATTTTGTTTTTTCGAACAAAAGTATCTCAGGTTCAAAGTGTTCATGGGAGATTGCTTAGTGCCTTAGCCCCAATGTAATTGTGTAAGTCAGTCTCTAAATATCAAAGCCCGGCCTCCTTCCTGATCATTGAGTGATTGTCGGCACTGCAGCAGGTGCCCAAAGGTGAGCAGTGGACTCTGCGCCTGCTTCCTGGGGAGTAGGCGTGCCCCTGTGCACTGTCCACAGTCACCAGGATCTCAGCACTGGTGACACGGGCTGGCCTGGCAGCGGAACCACTAGCCTGCTTCCCAAGAGACAGGGTTAGTAGCGCCTCCTGTTGGCATACAGAACAAACCTTCATGACTGTAGGGACAGAGCTTTAGGCAGCATTCATTAGACAGCCTACTTATACCACATGTATGTTATCATACACATTGACTTTGTTTTTCTTTCTTCATTTGGTACAAGGTCTCACTACGCAGCTAGGACTCGTAGTGATCTTCCTGCTTTCAGCCTCCCCAGCGCTGGGATTACAGGTACGCACCATTATACCCCTACTTGGTTGCAGGCTCAGCATTCCCCCGGGGTCAGGGCCGGCATGGCATGCTTGACTGAAGATTGAACCCTGGTCTCTGTGCTTGCCAAAGCAGGCGCTTAGTCTGCTGAGCTATCTCGCTGGCTCCACATTTACTTTTTATACTAGAAGAATTTTGGTGAACTAATTGATGCCATTCAATCCAGAACTTATTTCTTAATATTCCATCCCAAAGGGATGACCTGAGCCAAGAGGTGAAAGGCCAATTCTAGTTGCGCTATTAGTTGCTGACAATGCTTAGACTATGCATGTTCGTTGCAGATCAGCATGAAATCTAAGAAAAATATAAATGGCTCTATATCTCTAACGAATAAAGGGATTCATGCACCGTGTAACGAAGTTGTCTTAATAACATAAGTCTCACAATACAATACAGGTCTTAATTCAAGTTCTGCCACAGAAACAGGTGTTCTTATTTATGCCGATAATGCAATGTACAAGGATTTATATTATATAACAAGATATTATTTGAATTTAGTTCTTTAATTAATTATTTAATTTATTTACTTTTAATTCATGTGTTTGCTACAGGATCTCACTACACAGATCAGAGTCGTAGTGATCCTCCTGTTTTCAGCCTCCCCAGCACTGGGATTCTGGGCATGTGCCACCATGCCCCAGCTCAGTAGCCAGATGAGCGCACTCTGGGGGTGGGCCGCTGCACATGCAGGACCCGGGACAGAATTGTATGTGTTTATAATTCCTGCTGTCTCCTGGTGGGGCAGGTTCTTTGTTGGCACACTGCTCTGAAAGGCGAGGTGTGAAAGGCTAAAAGTAAAATCTATAGAAACGCTGAATTGTTCTGAGAAGGGAGGGGAGTTGAGGGAATGCAATGGATGATTCTTGGGGGAAATCCAGGAAGAAAAGAGCCGGGGCAAATTGGGAAGCGCAATCTTCAGCCTAGCAGCTCAGCCAAAGAAACCCAGGGGAGAAGAAATCTGCTGTGATCTTACACGGTGAGGTTTGTAGAAGGTTAAGCTTGGAAAAAACTCCAGTCTTCCCTCTGGAGTCTTGAAAATCTCCCCCAAGGCCACATAAACACATCTTGCCTGGCTTGATTGCCTATGCAAAATGCTGATGATTTCAAAGGCTATTTACAGATTGCAGAAGACAATAGCACCCTTGGTCCAGAGAATTGTTTAGTTGAGCATGATGAATTGCTATTCAAAATGACATCAATTAGCAAAAAGCAGAATGACCAAACTTTTCCTGCAGCTTCTGTCTATGCGTATTCAGCTGGCCCAGAAATCAGCCAAGAGGACTAGCACGAGTGAGTAGCACCGCACTTACTGCGAGGAGGAGCTGGAGCGAGCTGTGTGCCACCTCTATGTACTGGTACTCCAGCAGGCATCCTGAGACCGTGATGTAGCGATGGTCCTCTGGGGCCCAGTCGGGCGCGGGCGTCACAGACGTCACGGTGCATCCTGGTCCATTTTCCATCCACCAGGATCGATGCATCGAAATGTTGAAAGTCAGGATAAGGTCTGTTTCCTGCAAGACGGTAACTGGTGAGGACAGTAGCTACTTTGGAGAAGTGAGCTTATTTGGGACTAACTGGCTTCAAGTCTCCCCACCTGTCCTGTTTTATTTACAGGTAGCCGGCGTGACTCTAAAGCAATGGTCTGTCCAGGTACTGCACTTTTGAAGGTTTGCCTGGCCATAATAGGCAAAAGTATTTTATGAGGAAAAATGCCCATGATTTACATTAACATTGAAGAGTCTTTTCATTTTAGGATATTTAAGTACTACAAAGAAGATGATTTTCAAGCGGAAGACCCAATACTGTTATGGGCTACTGGACTCTTTTAGAATATTTTGCTGAGTTTACACACCTATAATATGCAAATAACGGAACTTAATGAAAAAAGGTATATAGATGAATGTCAATTTTGTATCTGTGTATTCAAAGTGGTTAGGATAGACATATAGTTACATTCTCTTAATGAATAGAGGCATTTGTTCTAATAGAGTTTGTAAATAGGATAT